CTAATCCCCGGTGACCGAGCACCGTCTCTGAACCAGGTGCCAGGCTGTATTGGCCTGTTTTCCTGTTGGTTTTGGCTAAGGTCGTGCCAGAGCTATCCGACGGGCGGCCCGGCACCTGACCCAGCCCGGGTTCGTTGCGGTTGGTGGGAGTAATTTGAGCTGTGCCTTGCACGTTTTCCATTTCTAATCGGGTATGACCTGACGTTGCTTGGTAGGTCAGATCCCTTAAAGAGGCCAGCCAGGTGTTAAGCGTCGGCACGGTTTACGTGGCTTCTCACTGGAGTACTTAGAACCTGCTCCGTTCGGTCGGTGCCGGCAACGCAGCGGCATGCGTACAAATTTGCCCGCTTCGCCCACCTCTCCAAATTTGTAGGATGTATTGATATGTATGTGACTTAAGGTTCACGGTTAGAAATTCCGAGTAAAGACGCGAAAAATAAAATTGATAACAGGCCATATCGTCTTAGGGCACGCAAGAAATGATGTGCGCGCATGATACGCTTAACCTCGTTTTCTGTGACACGTTTTGCGTTGTGCCCCTCCCCGCGTGTGTTGAAATCCCTGCGTACGTCCCTGTGTTGACCTGACGTGTCAGATCACGGAAGATTCTGGCCAGCTGTCATTGTTGTGACCTGACCTGGTCTGTACCTGGGTTTAGCTTTCGCCCTGCTGTCGCTGTAAACTGGTCGGAACCAACCGAGATGTGGGCGGGACGGGGAACTGCACTCTCCATGACCTGACCTGACCTAACCTGGCCTCATGACCTCCTGACCTCACCTGATGACTTGACCTGAGATGTTTCCTGATGTGCTCCTGCTGTTGTTACTACTCTGCCCTGGCTACAGCTCGGTTCCCCAGTCGTCACCGTTGGTACCCTTGATCTGGTTTGCCTGCAAGTGCGGTGTGCAGATATCCCTGCTCTGACCCGGTCCATGTTCCTGGCATGGTTGCCCAGCTGTTCCTTCTCTGACCTACTTTACCGGCCTGTATTGGCATGGTTCTCAGCTATATCTGTTTGAACATGACCCTCCTCTGACCTGTCTGTAGTTGATTGTTGTCGCCTGACCGTACCCAACCTTAGATTTGACCGGACAAATCTTCAGCTGTCTGTGGCTATGGGTGGCAGCTGTCACTGACCACGCCATACATGCTGACCCGGCGTGACCGGACGTGACCTGGTCAATCTCCGAACATGACCTACAGCTAGGTGTTGTTTGCCTGGTATGGCCAAATCTGACCTGTCGCTGCGGGCATGGTTCGCGGCCTTCGCTCGTTTGACCTGACCCGACCTGACCGCCCCCCCCCCTCTCAGCTGTCGCTGTCGGCCAGCACGCCGCGTCGCACCCACGGTCGGCTGTTGTGCCTGCTCTCGGCCATCCTGGCGCTCTCCCTCGCCCTGCTGGCCATCTGCGTGTACGTCGGGCTGGTGGCGAGCCTCACAACGTTCGCCTTCATGGCTGCGGAGGTACGTATATTAGGGGAATGTCACCATGGGGTTCGGGGGAGGCAGTGATGTGACCTTCGCCTTCATGGCTGCAGAGGTGCGTACACCAGGGGAACGTCACCTCAGCGTTTTATTTTTATTTTTGGGTGGGGAGGGGGCAATGACATAACGTTTGTTTTCATGGCTGCGGAAGTGCGTACACTAGGCGAACGTCGCCGTGTGGGAGGGCGAGGGGGCGATGCGGTGTGACGTTCGATTTCATGGCTGCAGAGGTGCGTACACTCGGGGAACGTCACCCCGGGTTTTTTATTTTTTGGGGGAGGGGCATTGTCATAACGTTCGCCTTCATGGTTGCGGAGGTGCGTTCGCTAGAGGAACGTCGCTTCGGGGATTTGAGGGGACGGGCGGGGCAGTGTCTTGACGTTTGCCTTCACGGCTGCCGAGGTGCGTCCACTGGGGATACTTCGGTCCAGCTTGCGCTTGTCATTTGGCTGCTGGTGATCAGAGTGTAGGCTAAACAACTGCGCTTAATAACTGGGAAGTTCAAAACAACAGTAATGTCTAGAGTGCTCACGCATGGCGGGGGACCAACTTTGGACAGCCAAGAGGGTTGTACGTGGATGGGAGGCAGTCCTCACAGCT